AAAAAAAAAAAAAAAAAAAAAAAAAAAAGAAAAGGAAAAGTTTAGCAAATATTATGTAACTGTTAGACGAACAATTTTATTTCAGATACTTTGTTCATGTTGCAACACCATTCTATATAATTGTCGGACACTTCACTGCAGTCACCTACAAAATTTTATTGCACGACGAGGTTTATCAGTTTTAAGTATTTTTCAAAGAAATTGTTGATGTTCTGTACCTGCTGTAATTTTTTCAACGGTACTACTGGTCACAAAAATTGACCTAACAAAAAATTACTTCATGAAAATGATAAAACACCTTGTTTACAATTTTCGCCTTTTCCTGACTTTAAGCAGCATGAACACTTTTTTAGTACAAAAGAAAACTGCAGTGTATACGATGACCAGAAGAACCTAATACTCAGTGTTCACCAGTAGAAATGATAGAAAAAATTGCCTCTGAATTACTTTTTTTTTTTGGAACACAATAAGAACTGATTCATTGCAGAATTAAATTTTTTTGAAAGATTAAGCATCAAAAATTCCTTCCATATTCTCGTGAAAAATTTGACTCAACTTTGAGCAAGTCGAAAAAATAAACACCATTTTAAGCAGAAACAACCACTGATAACTACGTCCATAATGTGACACCGGCGACCAACATTCAAAGTTTGTTATAAACTGCGATAAATCTGGAAACATAACAATGTGAGACGTACCACCCGTTAATAAAAAGCCTACGTACTTCATATCTTCACAAAAATATCACCCTTGCTCCGTCAGTGTAATAAAAACTTCACTGTCTCCAAAAAATATCTCAATAAATTCCGAAACCCTACACTAGCCCAATCTCCAGCCATTGGTTTCTTAAATCCCGTAACTACTTTTTTATAGCAAAAAATGAGCTAACAGAACCAAAACCTTCCAGTTAAAAAAAAGTAAACGTGATACATGGGTGTCGGATTAGATGCCAATTCCCTCAACCGATGCTTCCTTCACGTTCTTTTCTAAAACTTGATGCAATAGACTGAAATCGGACCAGTTCTACGAGGAACACACAGTTTACTTGGATGATAAAAAAGTAGGGCTTCAAAAACTCCACATTGATTCACAGAAAACGAGATCAATAAACAACTGTAAGTTAAATGATTTGTGGGAAGAGTTATGAAAACTAAAGAAATATATATACAAAGGCTAACTGAGAAACAGAGAATCATTCAGAAATGAGGAATACATTAACCCAAATGGACCTGTAATCACGCTGAAAGGCATTCAAGAACAACAATACAGCTGTTTGCGCCAATGTTACACTGTTCATAACAAAAATACTAAACTGAAAATTAGATAACAAAATTTCAATGAGGTCAATAATACAGTAATTTTAAGCAGTAGCGACAAGTGAAAACAAACTGAGATCATCAAAGGATATGTTATGCTAGAGAAAAAGCGCTGACTCAACACAAAAAGGGAGGAATAGTTTAACCAAAAAAGAAAGAACAAATAAATTCATGGTTTCTCATAAAAATTTTCAAAGACTATACAATGAAAAATCCTAGTTCTTGGAGCTGAAAAAGCAAAAAACTTCAATAACAACAAATATTCATAATCAATATCTTCGTTAATAAAAACCACTTTTTTACCACACAACTTGAAGCAAGCTTCTGACTACAATGTAAATGTGGCTATTTTTCAACCACGAGGAAATCAGTAATAACATTTACACGATAATAACACCATAAAAAAACAATTTATGTTACCCAATAGCAGCTACCATTTACCTCTCGCCGGCGAAGGACCTGCCTCTACCTTTCATTCCTAAACAACTAAATACAGCCCAGCATAACTATAAACGACAAAGGGTATTAAAGAAAACAGCTAGTCATTAAAATAATATTTCAACAAAACGTCTTTCTTCACGATTAAAGAAGCTAAAAATTGAACAGATTTTAAAGTTGAGTTTCAAAAACGGAAACGACAATTGTAACGTATAAACTTTAAAAAAAAAGAAACTAACTCTTTAAGTGGGATTTTTATCCCACAATTAGGGACCGATGCCGCACGAGATAGACTTCTTAGCATTTGCTTAACTCCTCTTCTCTTCGCAGGCGGTAGATGCTGCAACAGATTTTTGATTCTTTTTACGTCTGCAACCAAATGACATACAAACCTTCGACTGCAATGACCATAATTCAGAGAAACTAAAACCTTTAAACAATTATCCAGTGTATCACAAAACGTCCTAAATGTCTGCTCATCTGGAAAAGCACCTCTGTGCAGCACTTTCACTTCTTCTAAAACCGCTTCTGCGTATGGACCACTGGGATTCTCCGAAACGATATCAGTTAGAAACTTGATCAATAGTGCACGAGACTTTCGCTGAAAAAAACAAGAATTAACAGAAAAAAGTCAAAAAAATAGAGTCGTAAATGAGATTCTACTCATCCGACTAGTCTATAAAGGTCGTAAAAAGCCAATTACAAAAAGATAACATTTCTGTTACAAGGCGTAAAAAAATAATTGAAAACATTTCTTGTAAGAAGACTCACCGTATTTTCCTGATTTTTACCCAATCCGGTGACGTAGAACAAATACCTGACAATATTACAAAAACAATTTATCAAACCAACCGAGCGTTCATTGCTTTTGACTGAATCGTACCACAAATGAAAAGCCTCAAGTATTTGCTCCTGATTAACTCTGAAATAAAATTTTCCAAGAGTTATTCAGCAAACCTTATCAATTGTTACCTAAGAATAAAATAAACGATCAAGGCCTTTCATTGAAAATACTCACTCTTGCTCAGAAAATTTCTGAATAAACCACTTAACACAGAGTCTGCAGATAATATTTCCACGAAGGGGAGTTTGAAAAAGAAATAATAAGAATTCTTTCAAAAATTCAGTTCTTGCCAACAAGGTCCCTAATTTATCTGACAACAACAGTTTACATAAACAGCGGCATGCTGTTAGAGCGACACCTTCATCCTGAAAAAAATTAAGAAAAGATACGCCTTAGTAAAATTAATTCAACTGTGAAATGATTTGATGACTTATCAATTTTCCGTTTCTAATTACATCTCATATGTTTGTAATGAAATGGCGAAAAAAGCACGATATTTCTATGAAAGAGGTTTGGGAAAGAATTAATGCACATTTGAATTCGTTAAAGGTGAAAGGAACCAAATAATTTGCACACCATAACCATTAATCGTTTACCGAAACTAACCTCATCGTAGACGCTTAAAGAGAAGACTTCCACTAATTTGAAATTAAAACCTCTTGGAATAGAAGCAGTGTCAAACCACATCTGCACCTTCTCAAATCCAAAACTTTCGCAAAATTCCGTGAGAACAACAAGTGACACTTCCTAAAAACTTAATGTTCTTCTAAGAATATCTGAAATAAAACGCTACATATTTCTTAATACCACCATTATTGAGTGAACGGCCCGTCTAAGAAATAATAAAGACCGTTGGCCGAAAAATCCCTCTGACGGCAAGCATTTGAGCTAAACCTTGTACTCATTTTTACTGAAACCCTACTGTGCACGTTCCGAAAGACTTGTCTCTAAAAATTACCCTTAAGCCATTGTCTAAAAATAATGCGTCTCTTAAAACCGGAATCTTCTCAAACGCGCAGCTCTCATCACATGCTGCAATAGAACCCATCGCTTCAAAAGCCAACAGTCGGCATTCTGCTTCTTCTCTTACCATACCTTTCTCTACCTAAACAAAGGAAAATTACGCAAGAAAAGATGTAAATTGAGAAAAGGATGACTAAAGATATTTGTACCAAAGTGAGGACCATTAGATGAAACAGACCAAATTCTCAAGTAGACCCCTCAGCAAAGAACTTAGAATTTTAAAACGGCCAGTTTTTAGCGTCGCTTTCGTGATCATTAAACAACGCAACAAAGTGTCGCCATCAATCTAAATTTCCTTAAATACAGTAAACGCAATGAATTTGAAACCTGAGGATTACCAACAATTATAATGAGTAACACTTGAAAATGCACTGAAAAATTGTTCAACGATCAGTACCTTTAGCTCTCCTGAATCACCCTCACAGTCATAACCGGTGAGAGAAATCGTTTCATTTGCAGCAACTAGTAATGAAGAATAAGCGCCATGAGTCATGGAACTCATCAAATCACATACTGCAGAAAGACTATCCTGTAAAACAAGTACCCCGTTGGTTTCTCCAACAAGCAACTAATGAATTAAAGGATAAATTGTTTCTAAACCTGTAAAATCCCCTTACATTTGCGTCTTCCTTTTTGAAGAATCCTTTAACAAGTTGAAATACCAAGAACTCAACAATATCATAATTCAAAAACAAATGCTGGTCGGTCAAAATGTTTTCAATTAAATCTCGCCAAATTCCCCTGGAAAAAACTAATGTGATGCTCTAGTGGTCATCAAACTCTAGTACGAATCAGCGTCTTCTGACTTGACAAGAAACTTCCCAACAAGCTTTTACAAAAGTAATGAAGACATCCGACCCACCTCTCATCTCTCCGCCGTAAGTCCATCATTGGAACCATTTTCAACAACTGAGAAAATATAAAAATTTGAAATTTCATATCCTCCTCTAAATGATTTGAGAGCTTGAGGGAAGCAAATCTGTAACGAGAACCTTTAGGAACTAGGCTCAAACTTGTAGAAAACAAATCTTATAAAACTTACGATCGAGCAAATATACAGTGAGAATGAAGAACAGGAAAAAGTTTTTTGCGGCACAGGTCTAGATCCTCCTTAGACCGGCATAATTTAACTGAGAAATCCATCAGACAACGCCAAAAGAAAACTTTATAGGCGCGATCAAGCAGGGAGAGTCTGGAATGAATAACACCCTCAGAAATCTAAAACTGTTGAAAAGCACAGTAAATTAACCTAGTCATATTCGTCCCAAACGTACTCCCCAGTAAAAGGTATCTCAACAAACCATCCTCCACTACTTTTCACTGAGGTTTTAAAAATACTGCCCTTACTTTTCGTTCAGCAGACTCTCGTACTTATGCGAAACAAATGAATCACTGTCTTGCAAATTTAAAAGCTGAGTTAAGAATATATATACAGATGGAAAATCTGATATCGTTTTCTTACAGTGCTGTAAAGCGTACATCATAATCCCATGACAAAGCTGAAATTTAAAAACGAATCAATGAGAGAGCATCTAAACAACTCTGCAAAAAAGAAACAAATCTGTTCAACCTTCTCGTCATCAAAAGGGTCCAGCAAGAACAGCAACCTTGGAAGCGCACTCTGCCAGCTCCCAGGAAACATCTTCACACTGGAACCAGGAAACAACCATTTCACAACTATTTCTTTCAAGGTAGATTTCACATTGCAAACTGAAAGTAGTCAGAACATAACAACCAAAGAAAAACACAAACTGTTACAGCTTCAGCTTTACAAAAGTACATGTAAAATTTCTAAAATAATTGAAGATAAAAACTGCACTAATCACCTGTATCTATCATAGCCGCGCATCTCAGAATCGTCATTCTTTTCCCACAGTCCAAAGAGTCAGGAGACACATCATTCTTTAACCTTTCGAAAGCAGCTAACTGAATTTCCGTCTCTTCTTCAAACTCCACTATTTCTATCTTGAAAAAAGAAAAATATAACAAGATTAAAGAACATCAAGAAAATTCAACAATAAGACCCATCTTTTGCGAAATATAATCAAAACAAAGTATCCGTAAAAATCACCAAATCTTCAATGACTTCACTGCTCGCAGAAGAAACAGATTGGATCGCAAAAAGACGACACTGCTTGTTTTTATCTCGAACATGACGATGCAGCACTAAAACATTTGGTAAGAATAAAAAATTGGAGTTTGTACGATAGAACCAGTTACTCCAAAAAGACTTTAAAATGTGGGAACTCAAGATCCCCTTCTAGCATTAGTAGAAATGTAGGATCAGTAAAGCCACTGAAAAATCGTTGGCAGGACGTAACAAAAAAGCACATTCAAAAACAACTGTGCACATTAGGAAGTAAAAAGAAGCATTTCCAAACGGCACCTTGAGCAGGGGATAAGCACTTCGAATTACCGGCAAAAGAAAAACCTTGCTCTTGCAGTAAAGCCATGCACTTTAGAACTTCATACCGAACAGTGGGACTCTGAAGCAAATAGAACTGTGAGAAAAAGCTTTAATATTTCTCAGCCTCCTAAGCACGATGAAAGAAACAGACAAACACAACTTTTATTTGTCAATACACCACCCCTCGAAAAAAAAGAAGAAAATATGTTCTAAAAAAAACATTTATTTCGAGAGGCTACTTTGCAAAATGGCAGAGGAATCACCAACCGCGTCCAAATCATGCCAAACGAGTTTTCTATAGAAAGCACTCTTCTGTTTGAGGGAGAGGCAGGAGATACCGTCGTTGTGAGCATTATCTATTATGCGACTGAACACACAAAGCAAATGGAAGAACATGCACATACATGTGCGAACCACAGGAATTTTAGCGCCGTGGAACTACAAACAAATTGTGGAATAATTTCTATAAGAAAAGACCTCGTAAAGCCAAAAGATTCAGACAACCATAACCGGGTTTATATGGGTCAATGGGGCGACTCAGGGTACCAAGTAATACAACAAGCGCAACAGAAAAAACACTGACTTACCTTATTGCAAACTTCCACAAGAACGTTAAGGACCTCCGGCATGCCCTCTGCGCTCAATTGAAGTGCTCCATAAGAAATAACCTTTGCACAGTTTTCACGAGCTGTTTGTTCGAAAGGCTTAACGCAGAGCAATTCTATCAAAAATCGCAAACAGAAAAGAAAATATTCTCTACCGCCAGCCATATCCAAAACCTAAAAAAGTAAAAATAAGACCAAAAAGAGAAAGTAAAAATAAAATTTAACCGATGAAATCTAACTTCAACATAGGCCTCTTTAAACTCCCGGTTAATCTCCATAGTTACAGCAAAATTTTGCAACTTCGTTCCTTGCAGAAAAATACCCTGCAACAAGCAAAAAGAGTATGTTTTAAACCTGCGAATCAATCACCAACTATCAGCAATAAGTACCAATGAAAAATAACAAAAAGCAAATTCCAAGATACAAACATTTACTGTCAAGTGCCCCTCTCTCCTTAATAGCACAGTATAAAGCCAGAAGCACCAAAAATTGAACTGATTTCAAACCTGTAAACGGCGTTTGATCTGCACCTTCCATGGATCAAGCGACTCTACATCGTCAATGACACTATCGTTTTCAAAATCAGTTTTTTCGACTGCTGATTTACTCAACCGAGAATTCTGCCTTCGCCGGGCACACCGCGGTGTCAAACAGATGGTGTTCTTCTTTTGTAAAGTTCCAGCTGCACATGTGCTTTCCGTTGATGAATCGTCAAAAGCAACGTTGTTAAAATTGCTTGCCTTCCGTAAGTCACCAGATATCTCCACCCTTTTTACACCTGCTCTAAGTGACCTTACACCATCGAGATCCATACGGTTATAGTCAATACGACACATCCGTTTTAGTCTTTCTGAACGTCTTGGAGTGCTTTCTCCACTACACCCCCTCGGCATTATGACCAACCTACACTCGACTCTTCCTGTTCAAGTCGATTTCTACATAATCCGTCTGAAAGACGATTTTCATGCAGGAAACGGTACAAGCAAACCGCTGAAGCGTTCATATAACAAAAACTTACGACTACTGGGCAAAGTTCACGTAACAACCTAAATACTGTTGAAAAAACTATTCCGAATAAACTTTTAGAAAACATTTTTGCAGCTGATTTGTTGGAACAAGCAAAATGTAGTATTTACCTTGAAATAAAATGGTCCTGTCACCCAGAAATTTTGAAGACTATCCCAAACGATAACAAGGTTGAAAGGTTGCGCTGCATAAAACATTTCGTATGCATGAGTAAATGCTATTTACACATCAAGAAACAACCGATTTAAGGCCGGATAGTTGTTGCCTAAATTTCACAACTGAAACCCTTGCTTGAGTGATTTCACTGTAAAAGCGAAATGCACATGGCAACATAAAAGAGCAGTTTGGAAGAAGTTCACAAAACAGTCCGTTGTACGGCAAAGTGACTCACGGGTGCAGATCTTTGTTGTATCACTCTATAAAGGCTGCTACAGTACCCGAATGGCGTGCGCGCCAAGTTTTTTTTCGAATGCCGTATCCGGAAGTCGGCGCTCCACCCGACCTCTTTCTCCCCGATGTTTTCATGCGATGTCTGCCATCCAGTGGAATGACGTTCGACTTTCCCAATTCCTCCCTCTAGTGTCATTCATGGGGGTTTTCTTTGTCTTTTCTTTTCATGGTAATTGTTTCGATTGGATATGCATTAAGACGCCGTGGAAGTGGACTGAACGGCCAAGTAAGTGGGGATTATCTATTTTCATGTCGGCACGGCTTCAAGGGCATAAGAAATCTGTTGCTTCTGAATGTTGTTGGAAACTGTGGTAAGGTGACGGGTGAATGATATGGAAGACTGTGTCTCCGTTGGTGGTCGCGGGTTTCGAATTAGTAAAAATATAGCTAAGAAGACAAACCTCAGAAAGCGCCTCTAACAAATTCTTTTGCTTTGAATTGTTCTTCTTTCCTCCTTTCCGCTATTGGTATTCATAGTATTTCGGCTAAAACTAGTGCTTGAAGCACGCTTGTAAAATCCTTGGTTTACATTAACTTTCTTTAACCAGTCATGACAGTCTACTAATGGAACGAGTTCTTTCAGCTTTCGATTATTTTTAAAATATTTATGCTAAAAAACTAGTACGAAAATTTTATAAAGTTATTAGATAGCTAAGCGTGGCACTGAAAAAAAGACTGAACAGTAAGATCAATATTTCTCGCCACAGCTGAGAAACTTTTTTTTTTTGTAATTTGTTGTTGTCTTTGAAATTTGTTTCAAAAATCTTGTCGGGTCTGGTCTGCCGAAAGCGACTTTTTCCTTGGAAGTAATACTGAATTTGTTTACTTGCGTTTCTTTTTCCGATTTTGGATGAGAGTTTAGAAACCAAATCTTTTGGTGATATGATAATTGGAAGCTAGGATCTGCTTCTCAAGTTGCATCTTATCCCTATGGGGCTTCTTCAGCTTATATTTTAAACTAAACAGTAGGCCCTTTTTAGAGCAAAGAGTTTTTATTCGTATTTCGGCTTGGACAGTTGGTGGATGACCTTCTGTTTGTAAATTTTAGGCAGAGGTGCTAATCGCACATTGTATCACGGAGCAGATCGCCTTGATTTTTTGAGAACATATAACACCTGAGTACGAATTCATACGCAGGGCATCCGCAATTTTGCGTCAATCATTTGCACATTTTCTTTCCTGTTGTTTTTTCCACAAAATCGCACATATTCGACACTTTGCTGTACACACCTAAAATGAACTCATCGACTACTCATGAAATAAAGCAACTAAAATGTCTTGCAATTGAATTCTGCCTTAGCATTAGTGTCGTTAAGAACAAACCAGTACGTCGGAAGAAGTAAGCCAAAGGATAACATTACCTGCGTATCCCTCTTGCGCGCAGCCAAGACCCCAAGAAACTACTCCCAGTTGATACCACCGTTTGTCTTCAGCTCTGGCAACTAGTGGTCCTCCTGAATCTCCCTGGAAAGGCTGACGTTGACGGTTTGATCTTAGTTATTGTGGAAGCTGTTTTTTAAAACGCCTAACCTGACAACTGTCAACTCCGGCTTTACCAGCGCAGACCATGCTGTCGTCGAGTTCCTTATGGTAAACCTTTTGACACTGCTCTGTATCAAGAAATGGGACTCTAACTTGACGTAACTTGCTAGATACTGCTCCATCTTCTGAAATCCATTATTTTCAAGAAGTCCTTTGAGTGTTTTCTGTTAGTAATTGAATATTTGTGTGTGGTTTGGGTTTTCATAATATGCAGTGGACAAGAGTGAAAAAAAGGTTTCCAGAATGTGTTACAGGTAAGAAACATTGTCTGACACTGTGACGGATCTCGCTGTTGAAGTTAAGTAGTTGAACTACGACTTTGTTAAGCGATGTAGTCGTCTATAATTAAAATTACTTTAAAGCCATATGTGGCCTAAAACCGTTGCTCTGATAACATGGCAGAAAAAAGTGTCATTTTGTTCCTTAATTGAACAAATTCTGGATATTAAAACAGATCCGTTGTGCTTTTTACGGTCGTTCTTGGAAGTGCATTTTCTTTCTCCTGGCTTAAAGAAAAGTCTTCTAAACAGTAAGTACTTTCTGCGGCATTGGACTGACGCAGTTCGCTTCAAAAACACCATTATCACGGAAATAACCTTTTGTTGTTCCGACACTAGTTAACAGGATTCTGTTGTTAAGGTTTCGTTGTTAAAACAGTGAATGCATAGATTACCTGATGTGGCACCCCATCCTGTCACATATGCTGATTTTCCCCCTTCCATAAGTCTACTAGCATTTCGTAGGAGGCATACTGGTTGTATATGATCGGTGATGTTTATTGGGCCTCCAGCGATCTAGATGTTTACATTAATACATTAATTTCTTTGCTTTTAAGGGATTAATGCATTGAATGTATTTTTAAGCGCATACCTTTATTAGGGACAAGTCATGGGAGAAAAGTTTTGGTGAGCCGAATTTTGGGTGTATATGAATTGCTTTGAGTTTAGCTGTAATCTGTCCTATCTCATTTTCACTACGGTAATCGTAAACGCCAAGTTTCACCCGAAAAAGTTCAGGAAATAAGGAGTAACCATCTCTAAAACAGTTATCATTATTGAGTCAATTTGTTGACACAACCACTATATCTACTGCTGTTTACTGGCCATTTCTACTAATGAAAAAAGTTTCATGAAATAAAAGACTCATTGGCAACATCAAACAGTAGTTGAAAAAATTTTTTTTGCATCATATTCTCGAGCGAGTGGTTTGTCAAAAAGTAAGAAGAAACAGTCTATGAATTAAATGGGTGTTCTAAAATTCCGATAATCTTGAGATAAAACTTACACGCAATGTCCGGCACTTAAGATCCATTCGGGATCAATGAGAGAACCACCACAGCGAAGGTGGCATTCTTTAGAGACAGGGCCTAAACTAATTTTATAAACCTGTAGCTAATGGATTCAAATTATAACAACAATTGTAGATGGAGCTATTATTCTTTCGAGTCGCACCTGTTCTGATTGATAAGTGTGTTTTAAAAGCGGAGACGGAAAATCTTAGTTTGGATAGCTGTGCAGATAATTAATATCAAAACTATGAGTTTTATAAATAAATTAGCGACTGAGCATAGGGCTGTTTCTGTTGATATGTGCAGAAACTGACTTAGCATGCATAGTTGTGCTTGCCAAGGCCAGCTATATGGGCGCGCATAGTAACCTCCAACAATTCTTCTAGTGTCTTCAGGTTTTATTGGTGTCTGCCCACACTCAGATTTGCGTTCTGAAAGAGGTTTTTGTGGGAACTCTGTGGATAATAATTCGCTTTCATCGATTTCTAGACCAGATCCTTCATCAGATGCTTGTTTTTGTTGTTGGCTGTCTTGTTCGTCTACGGGAGATTCTCTTAGAACAAGAAAATTTTCTTCTTCATCAAATTTTGTATTATGTGGCAGGGCATCAGATTGTTGTAGTGAACAACAGCCTGAAAAAACTACTTTTGATGAAAAGCTGGATGTAATATTTATGATGATCATCTTCGTTAATGATTACCGACGGGGAAAACGAGAGGGTAATGATTCCACTTAAGGAAAAATTTTGTAGTGTAAATGTTTGGCAGTAAAAGCGATTTATTCGCCTCATACTAAAACCGTAAAACTTTTTTGATCTTACATGAAATCTTCCCAGTCGTCTTTGCACACTTCATTAAGTTACTAATTGATAGATTTTAAATGCTAATAAAGCTTACAAACAGTGGGAGAGTTCTTGAACGTAGTGCTGTATTGACCGCGACAGTGGCTATCAATAAGAATCAAATATAGTCTGGTAAGTTTCTACAGGGATCGGCTTATTTTTTATATTTTTTTTTTAAAAAAAAATAATACTCGCATAAGATGCATGCGGAAAAGATAATTAATTTTTAGAATGTTATTTGTGATTTTTATAATTTTGCAGTGAAAGGCTGCAACTTGTAGAAATGAAAAAATCCATTTATGAAGTTTGAGGAACTGTGAAAGTTGTTTTTAAAGAGGTTTTTTATGTAACAATTACATATTTTTGTGCAGCCTAATACAGCTTTGCCAAAAACCTTTATCTTAAATTTTTTGTTTTTAGGTCAAAGGCTATAGAGGCTTTTTTGTAACAAAATCAAAACTGAAGGCTGAGTTGGAATTGAGAGACATGGATTTAGCAAAAAAAAAAAAAAAGAGGAAAGTTTCAGAAAATTTACCAGTTAGAAATATGACGAAGTAGTATACAGCAGTCATCGTATCCGTCGCTGCATGCAGCACTGTAGTATTAATTGTGGCAAATTTTTATCCTTTTTGAGTATAGATTGGTATAAGAATAGAATAAAGTTGGCAGTTGACATGATCCTCCCCCATTAATGACTGTTCCTTCCTATGATTTTGTCGCTGAAATATTTGACGTATCTGATTGATGTTCGTCACTAATACTGAAATCAAATCTATTTTTAACAGATACTCAAATTTACTTCAATCTTAACAAAGTTGATTCACCGAAGTATCCGATATTGTGTTTACATGTTTTCTGCAACTGATCTGAACAGTTTGGAAAATATACGTTTATTTAGTAGGATATTAAAATTTTAAAAAGTTTTTAAAAAGTATTTGAGTAAAAGTTGCTATTCTAAAAATGTTTAAATATCTATTTTATGGAACAAAAATTTGAGAAGATAATAAATTTATCAACTTTTCTTTATTCAACTTCAAGCAGTTGAATAGTTGTAAAAATGTATCTGTTACTGCTGAAAAGCAATTGGCAGTATATAAAAGAAAATTTTGGTTTTTGGTGACTGTACAAGTTGATTAAAAATATCTTTATCCTTAACCACATCTGCAGCAGATATCGTTTGACCATCGGCTGTAGATTAGATCAAAGTTTAAGAAAAATGCTGTCTTAATTTGCTGAGACAACGAGGTCATTGCCTTGATGCTTTGAACACTTCTCTCCTCCCCTTCTACGGCATCATTTCTTCACATTTGATTAAGTCTAAACGTTTTTATCAACCAAGATGCTTTGTATTTTCTTTAAGATAGATGAGTTGTTTTACGTTAACATTACAGTTTAGCTATTTTAAATTCATTCTCTGTTTACTTTTTTTTTTCAATCAATATTGAATAAAGATGACAACCAAAAACGGATTTTTTTTTTTATTTTTACTGTTAATTAATGAGTATTCACAGGAGTTAATAAAATGAATAATTACGTATCTGTATTTGACCACATTGTTTTTGAACAAAATACAAAGTAGCTACTTATTCTTTTATTCTTAAAAAATTGCAGGTTTAATCTAATATAAAAATAAGTTTATATTTGGCTTTTTTGGACACTGAATTTGTTCTGATACAATAAAAAGTTGGGGTATAATTGACAGAAAAAAAAAGCGAGTTTCGTTGTTTCGTTTTGGTCAATACGGTAAATAAGCTAAAATTATTGGGCGTTTTTACTGCTCTATGAATCTATGGCATTTACTGGAAATAAAGAAACAACTGTAACGATACTTCAGCCCTGATGAATGCAGCTTTTTTAATAAATGTTTTGAGGAAGAGGACAGGAAAATTTGTGCAGATTCGAAAAAAATCTTGATTTACACTTAATGAGTGCTTTTAGGTACTCTTTCTTCGTTTTTCATTTTAAGCCGCTTTTTGTTTTTCGTCAGCACATATAATTTTGACTTAAAATTTCTTGTTGAGAGAACATGTGAACTGAACATTTTTTTCATTTTATAAGAGGCAACCGTAAGCAGAAATATGAATTGCTTAAACGGTTTGGATTTTATGCAGTCTCCTTGTAAATGACTCGAAGTATATATATATATTTTTAGAAGTTGAAAAAAGTTATTTCAGGTGACATCTCAGACATAAAACTTCACATGAAGATGAAGCAAAATTTTATTAGAATTAAACAAGTTGTGCAACTGTTACTGTCTAATTTGGTTTGTACGTCAGCAACTGTCAAAACTTGATGTCGAGGACTGTTTTACAGAGTAAAAAAGTGCCACGTTCCTATAACAAACTATTTCAAGGCCAGTATTTGCATGTTACCAATGACTAGGAATGATAAGAATGTTGAAAATGGTTAACGGTTACCTATTATTACAACAACTTTATTCGTCTTACTCATTTTACATGAACGTAAAATTTTCTTGATCCTCAGTTATTCGCAGCCAAAAAAAAAGCTTTAAAATAGCTGCCAATATTCAGATTTAATTTCTTGTAGAATAGAATATTTTCAAAAAGTGAAAAAAAAAAAAACATATACTGACCTAAGTTAGATAGCTTTAGGAAAACTTTTCAAAAAGCTAAATATTTTACGTTTTTCAAAAAAGAGAAGGGAGAAAAAAAATTTTTTTGTTTCAGTGCTTAAGGCAGATAACTTAAACGAACACTAAGAAACATAAGAAAAATATTGATGATAATATGAAATAATCAATTTAGTAGATTGTTTCTTGGAAGGAGCAGCATACAGTAATAGAATTAATCACTAACAACTGGATTGGTTGGTGGTTCAGTGATTAACAACCAGTAACCAACAAATTCACCAACTATTATTGAAAATATTACCCAAAGATTAAACGAAAATACACATAATATTAGGATGATCTCAATAGAAACTTGAATTATATAATATGCGGCCATTGTTGCATGATAAGAACTGGGCATATTTACTGCTTCACTAAAATAAGATTAACGTTGTTTAATGAACAGTTCACCCTGGGTGAATCGGTACATCTGTTGTATTGCTGTTGAAAAAACTTTGCTGAACATTTAAATACGCTTAAATCATTGAGGAATTAAGTTCATTGTATAATAGCTAAAGAATTTTTTGAAAAAAACCTTGCTGGACACTTAAGTACACTTAAATTACTGGAGGATTAGGGTCATTACATAATAGCTGAAATCATTCCAATAGTTTTCTTTTGTTCAAGATTTTCTGGTAAATATGTAGCAAAATTTTAACAGGCAACAAAAAAATGGAGGAGAACTGGAAGTATAATGCTAAGTATTAGAGCAAAAAGTTCATTTTATACGACACCAAAAATATCAGTAAAGCAACCAGAAGAACCATAAGGTTTATGCACCAAGTATTATTGAAATGCTGTCATATTCTCAACTGCTAAAAAATTTCACTTTATTAATGTGCAACAAAAGTTTACCCGATGTACTCTTTGTAGGCTCGAGACATTGCTCTTTTGACCGATTGCTGTTGAGCCAGTTCAGTGGGTTCAGCATATTCACAATAGTCATAAGTATCCAAGGCATCAAAGAATCTATATTCTCTAGAGCCACCAAGTAGTCCACCGTATCTATTAACACCAAAGCCAGCAGTTGAGTAGACACCGCCACCAGCAGCACCAAACGATGAAGCACCGTAGCCAGTATAATTTTCACAATTTTCTTCAATAATCTTAGTAGCAGCTTCGGTTGCAAAACGACAAAATTCTTTCATTTTAGTTAGACGACGTGCTATAAACTTAAAACAAATGAAGTAGAATGAAAAAGAATTGGCATTACTAAATAGTGAAATAAAAAAGTTGTTATTTTAAAACTGTGGATTTCTATTTATAAATTATATAGTGTATATCTGAAACTGTGATTTCGCTTCTCCAGGATTTGAATTTCTGTAACTGTTACGCAAATTTGTTGCTTTTCAAAGCCAATAATAGAAGTTCCTCAACGATGACCAGAAAAGAGCTGTTGACAATAAAATGCAGATCAACTTTTTTTTTTGATTTTCTTATGGAACTGCAGTTTTTTTTAGACGCTTTAACTGTCAGGATTATGAATACATTACAGAAAAAAAACTATGAAATAAAGCAAAATTTGTTGATCATTGGAATTTTGTTTCAGAAACAAACAAAAACAAAAAATATATATGCAAATAAGAAAAAATACTTTTCTTTTGATTTTTTTTTTATTTTTTTACACCTCTGCTTCACAGAATTATTTCATTTCTGTTAAATGGCATAGATAAACTTGCAAACAAGAAGAGCTGTAGCAGAGACCTTTAATAGCCTGATGTATTATGCATAAAATCATAATCAAAATACACATCTGTATCATATCTGAAAGCAAAAAGATAAGAGAACAAAAAAAAAATTATATACTTTACATTTGATAATCAGTAACAAAAAAGTTCTGCAACAATTAATTATATTTTGCTTGCCTTTTCTTTGCTTTCTTTTTTCTTCTTCTGTTATTTTGCTTTATGTATTTATATTAAACCATTTTAGTGATGTAGGAGAAAAATTGTTTTTTTCGCTATGAATTCTGAGTGCCAATTTCAGAAAAAGATGTTTTTGTTGAAAAGTACATCAATGGCAGCAATAATCTTTCTAAAAATCTTACCAGAAACAGTTCTGGCATAACCCCAATCAACCAGAATACAATCTTTATAGGAATAGTGTAATGTGGTACTTCGAGCCAAATGTCTACGAATCTGCCGAATTACAACAGTAAGTTTTTGTGTACTTGTAGGTCCAACCGGTAAATTCATTCTCTCCCTCATATTTGATT